TGTGGTGCGTCTGCGGCCTCTGCATCTCTCTGGGAGCCGCGGCGCCGACCGCAGGCCAAGGGCTTAGTCGGGCTGCGCCTTCCGCGCCCGCTCGCCCTCCGCGCACTCCCTTCGTGCGCGATTCTCACCTCACCTCCGCGTATCTCGATCGTCGCTCGAGATCGATTGATGCGTTCGAACTGTGGTTAGCAGAACACACTGGCGTGCCGCCCGCCACTCTTTACCGTAGCGGGATACTTCTCGCCCGCTTCCTCGCGACCTTCGGCGTGTGGCTTCATGATGCAGGTTTCCCTCATTATATTCTGGTTCATGCCATCTTGGGAATCCAGAGCGCTCATCCGCATTGGAAGGCCTTTCTAACAGAAGCTTGGGACGTAGCGAAACAATGGAAGCTCGCGGAGCCGCCAAAGCTCCGCCCGCCCTTACCTCGCGCTCTGCTGCGCGCTATGGTCGGTCTCTGTTTCGCCTGGGACTGGCCTGTGATGGCGGCCTTGCTGCTCATGGGCTTCACGATGTTCCTCAGGCCTGGCGAGCTGCTGGCGTCACGCCGCTGTGACTTGTCGCTTCCTTGCGACCGCCTCGAAGTTGAAGGGGATGCTTTTCTCTCGATTCTTGTTCCAAAGACCAGGAGAACGTACCCGACGCAGCATGCTCGCTGCTCCGATCGGGGCACGGTGAAGATTCTGAATCAAGTGTTTGGGCGGTTGGCTTCCACCGATCCTCTCGCCCCTTTCGGTGCGAGCGGCTTCCGTACTCGGTGGAATCATTTGCTTTCGGCCCTGGGCGTCCCTCTTGCCAAAGCGGGTCAGGGGCTCAACCTGACGCCCGCATGTCTGCGGGGCTCTGGCGCAACAGACTTCTATATCGCTACGGAAGACGTCCCTCGCGTCTTCTGGCGGGGGCGTTGGCGTCAGGCTTCCAGTGCTGAGCGCTACCTGCAAGCCGCCGCCGCTTCCACAGTTCTTGCTGCGCTGCCCGTGCCCGCACGGGCGCGGATCCTGTTCTTCGCCACCGCCAGCGACCGCCTTGTCGCTTCATTTCTCCAAGTCGGCCCCGCCGCTTGGCCTGCCCTACTTGCGGCCGCCCGCCGAAACCTTGTCACTTCGCAAGGTCCTTGAGCACGGGTATGGCTGCCTCGCCGTCGTCGGCGAGCAGGCGGTCTCCCCCGCCTGACGCGCGGCGCCCCGGCACGAGCGCGCGGGACGGGCCTGCCCATTTTGGGCCGCCCCGCGCGCGCGAGCCGCGGCCGCGCTCGGAGACAGCTCGCTAGCGCGCGAGCGGGAGAATGCCTCTTCTATTCTCTGTGAGCAAGCTCCTGCTGTCTCCGCAGCTTCTCTGCCCCCCTCCCTCCTCTCCCAATCTAAGGCTGATGGGCGCTGCCTCGCCGTCGTCGGCGAGCAGGCGGTCTCCCCCGCCTGACGCGCGGCGCCCCGGCACGAGCGCGCGGGACGGGCCTGCCCATTTTGGGCCGCCCCGCGCGCGCGAGCCGCGGCCGCGCTCGGAGACAGCTCGCTAGCGCGCGAGCGGGAGAATTTTTCTTCCAAAATCCGCCTGTATGGGGGACAGGCCCGACCTAACCTTGGGAGGACGGAAGGCGGTCCAGAGTGGGGGCTGACAAATTTGGAGGCCCCCTGAGGTGCAAAGGCAAGGTTTTGTCCAGGCCTTTGCGGGGCCCCGAATCAGTTAATTTGGCTCACTCGCTTGAGGGGGTGCCGGCGAAGGCGGCATTCGGTCTCGCCCCAGACCGAGCAGCCCCCCCAAAAAAGCTAGCGCTCTCATCCGGAGAACGATCTCTCGAGGAGCGTCTTCCCAAGAGACTTCCGACGCTTTCCATTCAGTGTGCACGATGCGTCTTGTTCATGGGTTTATTCTGGGTAGCGGGAATTAGCGAACCAGTGAGTGCCGAGAGTACCACCCAGAGGAGCCTCTTGCAACAGGAAAGCCCTTTCCATTGAGAGCAGTTAGCAGCCTCCATGGAAGGGTTCACATATGAGGAAGCGAGGTGTTGACATGTCTTCCTCCACGGACGCTGGCTGCAGGCCTCTGGAAGCAGGCGGGAGCAAAGCGAGGGCTGCTCCGCCGGCGGAAGGCCGGCAGGAGCCGACGGAAGCAGAGGATGCCATCTAAGAGATGACATGTTTCGGGGAGACACGGCTTCGGGCAGGGCCATCTGGATAGCTATTTTGTGGGATGGTAATCGGCCCCTTCCCCCGATCATTCTGATCATTCTGTCGCGGAGGGGGGACGACGAGGCGGAGGAGGAGGAGGGGGGAGAAGGGGGAGGAGGAGGAGGGAGGAGGAGTAGAGAGGCGGAGGAGGAGGAGAAGGGGGAAGACGGGGGGACGGAGGAGGCGGAGGAGAAGGAGGAGGAGCAGCGAGGAGGGGGAGGATTGGGGAGACTGGGGAGGAGCAGCAGCGGCCGGAGGAGAAAGAGCGGTCGGGGGTGGACAGAAACCCCACCCTGACACGTCGATTAGTGAATTGTCCGTTTTCGGTTCTCGAGAGGGCGCCGCGGCCGTCATTTTCCAAGCTTGCGCCCGCCAGGTTCGGGCCCGAGGTCGTTTTCACAAATCCACGTTTTGCTAAAGGGGGTTCTGTCCATCCCCGAAGCGAATGCAGGAGCAGGAGAAGAGTGACGAGAACGAGGAAGAATAGTGAGAGGGGAAGTGGAGGGGGCCCAGGGGGAAAGGTCAGACAGGGCTAAGGCGAGGATAACTCCGTTCCAGAGCGTTCCGGAGCACTCCCGGAGCATTCCAGGGCTTTGTGAAGGCCGCAGCGCCTCCGACATCTTCCACGGCCGCCGGATCTCAGAGATCCTCGATTTTTCCTCACCCGATCGTATATTCGTCCTGGCTTCGTCTTAGGAGGGTCGCCTCGTTCGCCTTCCCCCTGATAATGGGCAAATAATTAGTGTTCCCTGGGCAGGGTTGAGGGATGCACCCAGTGCACCCAGCAGTAATTGGCAAATCATGTTTCCGCCGTCGCCGAATAGGAGGAGGAAGAGGAGGAGGAGGAGGAGGAGGAAGAGGACCAGTGTAAACCCAAGAGTCACCAACGATGTTGGAATCAACCCTTCCCCCAAGCTCCATTTTTTATAAGCCCGTACAACGGTTCATATCCACAGAGGGACAAGACAACCATTTGAAGACCCTGAGACATACCAAAGCATCATTCCCAGGTTTCCAACGCCACGGAAAGAATTGATTCGTGCGTCTTGATGATCCTGAATCGTGCCAGATCGCTATTCTTGGAATTTCAGCACTGCGAATAATCGTACCTGTTGCACCCTCATCATCGTGAATCCTTCAAAAACACGATGACTGATACGTCGATCATGGGAAACCGTGCAACCCTTGGATTTTCTGTTAGATCGAATGTGCGCGGCGCTAAGGCGAGAGCCACATGTGGAAGAAGAGCCGCAATCAATCCGTGAAACTCGTTCACATGTTGAAAATGAATAAATGCGGCGCCAAGGCGAGAGCCACATTTTGAAAACCACCCGACACAATCCCTGAGGCTCTCGCGCATTTTGAATATGAATGTGCCCAGCGCAATGGCGACAGTTACATTTCGAAAACCATCCGCCGTCAATATGTGAAGTCCTTGAACATGTTGAAACAAGAATGTACCCAGCGAGCGCTATGGCTAGAGCTACATGTTTAAAACCACCCGCCCTCAACTTGTGAAAGTTCTACATGTTTTTCACGAATGCGCGCGGCGCTATGGCGAGAACCACATTTTGACAACCACCCGCTCTCAATCCGTGAAGCCATTGCACATTTTGCAAACGAATGTGCCCAGCGCTATGGCGAGAGCTACATTTTGAAAACCACCCGCCCTCAGTCTGTGAAAGTCTTACATTTGCATAACGAGTGCGCGCGGCGCTGAGGCGAGAGCCACATTTTGGAAACCACCCGCCCTCAATCCGTCATACTCTTTGCACAGTTCAAAACGAATGCGCGCGGTGCTAAGGCGAGAGCCACATGTTGAAAACCACCTGCCCTCCATTAGTGAAACTCTTGCCAATGTTTAACCTTCAGGGTCATAGATGGTGAGGACGTCTCAGGCGAAACGCCCGGCCCGCTCTAAAACTATCCTCGGGGTGCGACAGGGGGAAATTGCTTATGAGGAGAAGCACTGGAGGAGGAAGCGGACAGGAAGGGGAGGAGGAGGAAGGTTAATTATACTGTCAGGATGTTTCGGTCAGCCGTTTTTGTTGGCCCACCACGCCTCGGCGCGTCACGCCATCACCGCTCCAGTCTCTAAGCGTCAACATCTCGAGTTGTTGTCCAGCCTCCCATCCCGCTACGCGGAGCGACACGCCATCCGCTTGCAAGGCAAACAGTTTACGGTATGGCCCGCCACACGTCTATCATCAGCGGGCGGTCCTGACAAAAAGGTAAGCGTTTGAGACGCATCCACTGCACACTCAAAAGCGAAACCATCGATGACGATCAGTTCGGCCCCTTCTCGCGCTCTGCGCGAGGGCGCGGCTGGTGATCTGGTGCAGTCCGAGCAGCGCCAGATGCCAATCAAGCAGTTGGGGAGGCGCAGCCACACGGAGGCCCTGGTCGGGCGCTGCAGTTACTGGGGACGGGGATTCCACTTCAGGCCCCGTCCGCCCTGGCCTCCTCCGCTCGAGGATCCCATAGTTTGACGCATACGGTGAGCACGTGACGTATAGCGTGCCCTACCCCCCTGCCATGGACAAAGTCCACGCCACCGTCTGTGAACGATATACGTTTTCTCTCCCTCACGAATCCATTTGGTCGACCTAAACGCTAAACGCTGAACAACGGCGTATAGGGTGCACGTCACTTCGACGTGCACTACACACGCTTTGCTGTATAGCGTGCACCTTGAAAGCCCGAGCCGATCCCAGAAGTCCACGCGGACTGTAGAGGGTTTGTCTTTATGCAGTTGCGTTTTCTTCTACTACCTCGCATGATCGTGACTGGTTCCGATTGCGAGCAGTCATGATTTCCGACCGGGGCCCCCAGGAGGCGCTTGAGCATGAGGCGCAAGGTCGTGCGGGTCTGCAGACGGGCAAGGCGGTCCCGATTCCCGGGGGCTTCGGAAGCGGCAGCCAGTGATCGGGGGGCGTCGAAGAGGGGGGGGGACCAGGGTCGGGGGCGACCTCCGGGCGGGACACGGTCTTGAATTTTGGCTCAGCGTGTCGCTCTGCAGGGTTCGGGCCCACCCCGCTTTGGTGTGACACGCTATCCACTTCCCGGCTCTTCCGAGCCTCCTGCCCCGCGGAGCGGAGCGACGCGCTTCCATCGCAGGCCACAGCATGTCGCTGAGGCCGCCGCCTCGACATGGTGAACCAAAGTTGCCGACCGTAGGCGCAGGGGGGAAAGCATCGACACCCGATCGCCCACTGATCGACGATAGGGGCCCGATGTTTCACGCTGCCAAGAAGGAAGGTGCGGATTCGCTACTTATCTGGGAGACATCGCCGATTTATCTGCGAGTATCGCCGATTCCAGGTTGATGTCCCCCCTTCCCGAGCCAGCCCCCTTATCGTACCCCATCATACGGTCATGCCCGAGACCATTAAGTCTCCCAGACTTCATCGCCACTTTCTTCTTTCAGCACATCCCCTTACCATCCCCCCCTCATCCGCGCACATGCTTCGGGCCATGATGCGCTAACCTTCCTTCCTGGCCGCCTTTTCCGGTGCATTCGAAATGAGGCGGAGGCGCCCACACAACGGGGGCCAGGGCTGTCCGGTGTTTGTTTGGGGGAACTGTTGGTCGAATCGATTCGATTGGTTCCATCGCCATCTCATCATTGTGCTGTGTACATCGCTTCGCACTCTCGTTACATTCGATTCCACCCTACCCGTGTTGGCCCAGGCTACCCAATTGGGGCCAGCATGGACCTGGGCGGAGGATCTCACAGCATCGCCGATGCAGCGGCGATGCGGCGCGATCTGGCACCCGAAGTTCTCGATCCCGATATCGGCGACGCATCGGAGGTGCATAGGCCCATGGATGATGTGTTACGATCCTAAGGCCCATCCATCCTGCCCAACTCGGGCAGCCTCCACCATGGGCCCCATGGATCAGGAGCAAAAGAACAACGTACACTTACATGAATCCACGTTGGTTCCGAGAGGACTCATTGCGCGAACGTTCGTATCACGCGGCTGGTCTCGCGGACTGTGGGGCAGAGTTCATGTACGTGGTCGGGGCACGCGCGTGCATTGTAGGCTCCCTAATGGAGCACTCCAAAGGTCCCAGGAGGATTGTGGAGGTCTCGGGAAGTTCCTTGCAGGTCCCCGATGGTCGTTTGGAGGACTCAGCGGAGGCTCCGGAGCGTCCAGCCGCGATAGCGCCCACTGATCCCTCCGCCGTCGTGTCTTCCCTCTGGCCCTCGCTCGCTCGCCTTTCTCGGGCCCCTGTTCGTTCCTGTTGCTGCCTGGGAGCTAGCGCTTGACTCCAACCCACGCCCATGACAACGCGCCCAATGATTGGCGGTTCAAAGTCGGGGCCCTGAGGGATGAGGACCTGCGGCCGAGGGGCCTCAAACAATGTAAGTTCAACCTGGCATCTCTTCAATGCTGAGTGCCCCATCCCTCAAGGCCACATGCCCTCATAGATCTGACGTGGCAGAACAGATGCGGCATTTCGAAACATCACGACCGGAGCCCTGGACCCCATCCCTCTGATTGAGTTTTCGAGGCTGATCGATCTGTGAGGGCCCGAAATCGGGCGAAAACGCCCAGAGCAAAAAAAAAAGTGCTATGCCAGGATCTGGGGGATTTTTGAACCGCCGAAGTCGATTTCTCTGGCTGCTCGCATCGACGCCCCCGGGGCCCGTGCTGACCCACAGCCTGCGGCTGCTGCCCGGGGAGGACCCGTGGGGTTCCCGGGGCGGCGCTCGGCCGAGTGCTTGCCGGCCCCTCGGGGCAAGGATGCCGGCAGTTGGCGAGGAGGAGGAGGGGAGGGGAGGGCCCCCCTCCCTCCTCGCCCCCTCCCTGCTGCACCACTTCCTCCGCGTCATCCTCCCTGCCTCCTCCTCGGATGCCCTCCGGGGATCACCCGTTGAAATGGGAACGATGCAGAGAAGATCAGCATGACCCCTGCACAAGGATAACACGCACAAGCCGAGGAGTGTATACAATTGTTCGGCACGCTCCTTCTCTCTGCCTCCTCCTCCCCTCCCCTCCCCTCCTCCAGCGGATTTCCTCCGCCCTCTTGCTGACCCCCCTCTTCCACCTCCGTCCGCGGAGGCGCGCGCGCGCGGAGGAGAGAAGGCGATGGGGAGGAAAAGAGCGAGGGGGAAAGGGAGGGAGAGGAGGAGGAGGAGGAAGAGAAGGAGGAGTTGGAGGAGGAGGAGGAGGAGGAGGAGGAGGGAGGTGAAGGAGGAGGAGGAGGAGGAGGAGGAGGAGGAGCGAGGGGCAGGAGCGAGGACAGGACAGGACATCCGCATAAGGGGGTCAACGTCAATGTGCCCGCTAAGGTGCAGTGAAGAGCGTATGCGTACTTCCCCTGCGTGAGTGCTATGCAGCATGGACTCGACAGCCCTTCGACATCGTATCGAGGGAACTGCCAAGGCCTGGCAGGAACGAGGAGGAGCAGGAGGAGCGAGAGGATGAGGAGCAGGAGTAGGAGGGGAGGCGAAGCCGGATGAGGCGCAGGAGGAGGATGGAAGGGTGAGTCGAATTGGAAAAAAAAACGGCATCAACATACGTAAAGTTTCGACGGTCCGCGGGAAGTTCTTGGATGCGCGCTGGGCCGCCCTTGCGGCGCCTCTGGCGCCGCCCCTTGCCACGCTCTGCGCGCGAGGGTGGGGGGTCCAGAGCAGATCCAAGAAATCCACGCGTACAATTGAAAGCTTATGTCTGTGTAGTTCCCAACCCTTCTGCGTTGGGTTCTCGTTTTGAATAGAACACTGCTCGCGCGAACCTTCCTTCCTTCCCGTCCCTCTCTTCCCCCCTGCCTTTGACCTCGCTCGTCGCTGCGTGCCAGCTGGGGGGCTGCGATCTGTGAAACTGTCGCCACTTTCGAGGGCTGCCGGGGGGCCCAGCACAGTGGGTACCCACGGCGGATTCAAATGGGACCTCGCCATCCCTGGGGGGCTGCGATCTGTGAAACTGTCGCCACTTTCGAGGGCTGCTGGGGGGCCCAGCACATTGGGTACCCACGGCGGATTCAAATGGGACCTCGCCATCCCTGGGGGGCTGCGATCTGTGAAACTGTCGCCACTTTCGAGGGCTGCTGGGGGGCCCAGCACAGTGGGTACCCACGGTGGATTCAAATGGGACCTCGCCATCCCTGGGGGGCTGCGATCTGTGAAACTGTCGCCACTTTCGAGGCCTGCTGGGGGGCCCAGCACAGTGGGTACCCACGGCGGATTCAAATGGGACCTCGCCATCCCTGGGGGGCTGCGATCTGTGAAACTGTCGCCACTTTCGAGGGCTGCTGGGGGGCCCAGCACAGTGGGTACCCACGGCGGATTCAAATGGGACCTCGCCATCCCTGGGGGGCTGCGATCTGTGAAACTGTCGCCACTTTCGAGGCCTGCTGGGGGGCCCAGCACAGTGACCCACACGGCGGATTCAAATTAGACCTCGCCATCCCTGGGGGGCTGCGATCTGTGAAACTGTCGCCACTTTCGAGGGCTGCTGGGGGGCCCCAGCGGAGTACCCACGGCGGATTCAAATGGGACCTCGCCATCCCTGGGGGGCTGCGATCTGTGAAACTGTCGCCACTTTCGAGGGCTGCTGGGGGGCCCAGCACAGTGGGCACCTACGGCGGAGTCAAATGGGACCTCGCCATCCCTAGGGGGGTGCGATCTGTGAAACTGTCGCCACTTTCTTATTCAAATGGGACCTCGCCATCCGTGGGGGGCTGCGATCTGTGAAACTGTCGCCACTTTCGAGGGCTGCTGATGGGGCCCAGCACAGTGGGTTACTCACCGCAAACTCAAATGGGACCTCGCCATCCCTGGGGGGCTGCGATCTGTGAAGCTGTCGCCACTTTCGAGGGCTGCTGGGGGGCCCAGCACAGTGGGCACTCACCGCAGACTCGAATGGGACCTCGCCATCTCTGGGGGGCTGCGATCTGTGAAACCGTCGCCACTTTCGAGGGTTGCTGAAGGGCCCAGCACAGTGGGTACTCACCGCAGACTCAGATTAGGCCTCGCCATCCCTGGGGGGCTGCGATCTGTGAAACTGTCGCCCCTTTCGAGGGCTGCTGAGGGGCCCAGCACAGTGGGTACGCACCGCAGACTCATATTAGACCTCGCCATCCTTGGGGGGCTGCGATCTGTGAAACTGTCGCCACTTTCGAGGGCTGCTGAGGGCCCCAGCACAGTGGGCTCCCCGCACGTCTTTCTCCTGCTCTTCGTTCCCGTCTCCCCATGTCTTCTTCGAGCCTGTAGTTGTCGCCCCTCGTTATTGTATGGTTCTCCTGCGCATCATGCCATTGGCGCGTGTCCCAAGTAGCTTACATATCAAACAACGGATCCTGCAATTTGATGGTCCGTGCAAGTTTCGGCCAACTCCTCGTTTCCCATGATACAAATGGGTTGGGTACGTCACAGGGTAATTTGTTGTTCTTCCAGGGGGCAAAGGGGGGGAGGTGGAGGTAGAGGACGAGGGAGGAGGAGGAGGAGGAGGAGGAGGAGGAATAGGACGAGGAGTAGGAGGAGGAGGAGGAGGAGGAGGAGGAGGAGGAGGAGGGGGTACGGAGAAGGGGGATGGAGGAGGACGGGGGATCTGGTGGAGGAGGAGGGGAGGGAAGGATGGAAAAGGTAGGGATGATGATGCTGATGATGATGAGGATGATGCTGATGATGATTATGATGATGCTGATGATGATGATGATGATGATGATGATGATGATGATGATGATTATGATGATTATGATGATTATGATGATGCTGATGCTGATGCGGATAATGCTGATGCGGATGATGTAATGATGAGGATGATAAGGATGATGAGGATGCTGATGATGATGATGATGATGATGAGGATGAGGATGGTGATGATGATGATGATGATGATGATGATGATGATGATGATGATGATGATGATGATGATGATGGTGATGGTGATG